TTTACATGGATGTTAAAGTTTTTCGTGCTAAATTTTAAGAATTTAGTTCTATTAGTTTCCCAGATAAACGAATTTTTGTGTCTAATTTATATGGGAGGTGCCACTCCCCCTAATGCTAGTCCACCTACTTTTTGTCCTAAATGATCACACTAAAGTGGCTCCGAAAAAATTTGAGGACTCTAACTGTTATATTATCTCAAATATACGGATTTTATATTTTCTTAATGTGGGCGTGGCTCATCGCCCACTTCAATTTTCGAAATAAAAAGTAGCCTATTACCTATTCCAGACATGCCGGAATACGCTGTGAGAATTTCAAGAAAATCGGTTCAGCCGTTTAGTAGTCTATAACGTTCAAACATACAAACATACAAACAAACACACATTCATTTTTATATATATAGATGCAACCAAATGTAAGCAACTTCTACAACACATTCATGTTCAATTTGTCTAACATTATTTAACACCCACAATATTGAAGGTATGAGCAGAAAATGGCATTTCTATAAATGTTGTCTGACTTTTTCACATTTTAAGTTTTTAAGATTTTAAAAGATTCATGTTTTTTTTTTTTTTTTTGCTTTAGACATTGTTAAAATATGTTTTTCTACATAATAATAGAAGAAAAAAAACATACATATTGTAAAATTCTTTTGTTGGTTTCCTAGGGAAGTGTAAAAAAAAATCTAAAGCAATGCAATGAGATTTAAATTGCTTGATTTTAAATTTACTGCAGACACATATACATAGACAAATTTACGATAATATATAAAAGCAATATTGTGTTCATTTCCATGGAAATTTGAAAGTGAAAATTTTTCAAACTTTCAAATACTTTTTTATTAGGAAGTTCGTAGAAGAACATTGAGCTGAAGTATTGCATCAAAGTTTACTGAAACGGTCTTAAACCGACTGGAATCAACTAGATTACATTTTATTCGAATAGAGTAAAACCGAAAATATTCGAGTAGAACAGAGTCGACTTTATTCGACCAGAATAGAGTCTACTTTATTCAACTAGATTAGAGTCGACCTTATTAAACTAGAATAAAGTCGACTTTATTCGACCAGAATATAGTGGACTTTATTCGACTAGAATATAGTCGACTTTATTCGACTAGAATACTTTTTCGTACTTTTAAGGGGTAAAAATGTGGAGCAAAGGTGATTTTGCTACCTTTTTTGTCCCTTTATAACTTTTTAATTAATAAACATAATAGCACTTTTGTAAATATTTTGAATATATTTTCCAACATTATGAGACACCTGTTTCGTACTTTTTTTAAATTCTGTGAAAATTCGGGTAAATTTTTTGGTACTTTTTTAAAGCACAATTTTTCTGTAACAAATAAATGCAGATATGAATCGTTGGAGTTTTAATTGTGATATATAGATTTAAACAAGGAATATTTAGTAAAATTAACTCTCAAAAAGTCTATTCCTAGGCAAAAAGAGAGAAAATGGAACTATTTTTATGAGTACTTTCCACAAAGGTAGTATTCACTTGTTAGTTACTTTTTTTTCAAATTATATTCTTTGTATTTTCTATAATATGAATCCAAAACACATTATTATTAAACATATACGGTTCTTTTTGAATAAGATTCTTTAAGAGAGAACTTTTTAGTACTTTTCATCACTCAAATGGTACTTTTTGGAATTTTCTAAAATATTCAACCTAGAAACATGAAGTGGGGACTATTTAGTACTTTTGCATTCTTCAAATGGTACCACGGAACATGTGACACAGGATCCTTATTAAATGAATGAATCTGTTGATCTACTCGCGAGTCACATGTCGTCGTTATCCTGCAATCGTGAGCAATACTACTACAGAGGTGGGTACCTTGGCCTCCGTGGCGGAAAATGCGTCAAGTGTACAGCATGCCATTGGCAAAAACATAGGGATGAAAGAAAAGGATGTACTCGGAGAGAGCTCTAAGCTACCTCAGCCTTTAAATATAGGTAAGGACTCCGATTTTGAATCCTCAGATGATAATAACAACACCATTATAGCAAATCCCAAAAAGGATGAAGTAGAGCAAATGGAGGAGAGTGATAGCATAGCTAAACTACCTATTACTAAGAAAAGACTATCTGGAGCACAGAGGAGGAAGTTGGAAAAGATGCTTCAGGAAATCATAGTTACTCAATTCAACGAGGCAAAGAGGATGAGGTCTCCCGAGAAGTTGATAACTGAGAATAAATCTAAGAGGGAAAAGAGCTCCCCGTCTTCTAATACACAGTCTAAGCCAAGCCATACGTCACTCAAAGGAACCTCAAGTCAGAATCCTGCGAGAAAGGGTGCCAGCGCCAAGATAGATATTCCGAAGACGACCACGTCGGCGAAATCAACCTCGAAGGTTAGGGTATCTCAAAAAAAAGAAGCCTCGAAAAGCGAGGAAGGAAAGGTAGCCACTACTGATAACGTTGAGGAGTCAAATCCTAAAAGCAAGAATGTTACCACTAACTGTCATTTTCAAAATTGGGAAGGCGCCGATTGAAAAGGCTGTCAAAACCGTCCCTTATAAGGACACTAAAACACCTAAGGCATCACTAGCAAGTACTTTGAGGAGTCAAGCCCTAAAAGCGAGGAGGACATCACTCACTCGCCCGAAGACAGAACAGCAGTGCTTTCCAAAATTGGAATGTTGTCGATTAAAAAGACTGGTTTTCCTATGCCATCAATAGAATCTACTGCATTAATAGCCACTTCAGGTTACCTGGAGGAGTGAAATCCAAAGAGCCAGGAGGTGATCACCAGCTCACTGGAAGACAGTTTAAATGGAAATGAACTTTGAGGAGTCAAATCCTAAAAGCGAGGAGGACATCACTCACTCGCCCGAAGACAGAACAGCAGTGCTTTCCAAAATTGTAATGTTGTCGATTAAAAAGACTGGTTTTCCTATGCCATCAATAGAATCTACTGCATTAATAGCCACTTCAGGTTACCTGGAGGAGTGAAATCCAAAGAGCCAGGAGGTGATCACCAGCTCACTGGAAGACAGTTTAAATGGATGACAATGCTTGAGGTTATCCAAATAAACCTTCATCGGAGCGAGACGGCTACCAACTGTCTGATGGCTAAAATTAACACAGGTAAGATACATATATCTTTAATCCAGGAACCTTGGACGATTCGCAACAATCCACATTTTTAACACACTCATTATCAGGTATGTAGCATCCAAAGTATGTATATATCTTGCTCATGTGTACAACAATTTTTCCTATATTGTGCTACAGTGTAATCGGTCTAATGCTACACATGTCTATACAAAATTATTATTCCCTACACCAGACTATTAGAAGATTTTAATACGTTGCGACTCCCAAAAATTAAAAAAAATTATTAAATTTGGCCATACTCTTCATAAACCTATTCAAAATAGTTGTAATCATTACAGAATTTTACCTAAAAACTTCCCCTCTACGACACGGTTTAACACTATGTTAAAGACAAAAGTAATCAACTAATTTGATTTTATTAAATCAAATTAACTTCAAACACTATCTATTAACTAGATCTGATAATTTGACTGCCTTAATAATATTTTCAACGGCTTCATGAAAAAACTCCCCACAAAATAACTCCTCAAAACAAAAAAGGAAATAACTCCCTAAAAATTTGTTCAGAAAGCAATAACAATGAAATTTGGGGATTTAATTCCCTTCTTGGGGAATTGTGGCACATTTAAAATAATAAACAAATATTTTCTCAAAATTCAATAAAATGAAATAAATTTCTAAAAATATTTTTGGGGAGTTATTTAATTATATTACTTTTATCAAACGAAATAAAAAAAAATATATGTTTGATAGACGGCCTTCGGCTGGGCGCAAGGATTTTCTCCTCTGTGGTATATATTGGACATCAGCTTCACTTTCCGTGTATCAAGTGCGTTCGGCCTTAGGCCGGCTATTTAGGAAATCTTTACTAATTGAAGCCGGTTTTGGAAATATTACAGAGTGGTAAATCATTACGTCCGGCCGTATACCTTCTATTTAATGCATATTTATTAAGCGAAACCGTTGTTGCACGGCCTTCGGTCGGGCGCATGAATTTTCTCCTGTGGCCGGTTTTGGACATATTACAGAGTGGTAAATCATTACGTCCGGCCGTAGACCACCTATTTAAAGCATATTTATTAAGCGAAACCGTTGTTGAAAGGCCTTCGGCCGGGCTCAAAAATTGTTTTGGACATATTGCAGAGTGGTAAATCATTACGTCCGGCCGTAGGCCATCTATTTATTAAGCGAAACCGTTGTTGAACGGCCTTCGGCCGGGCGCAAAAATTTTCTCCTCTGTGGTATAGGGGACACCCTCTTCGCTAAGAATACACTGTAACAAGAGCGTTCGGCCTTAGGCCGGCTAATTAGGAAATCCTTACTAAGCAAGGCCGGTTTTGGACATATTACAGAGTGTCAAATCCTTACGTCCGACCGTAGGCCGTCTGTATTGTGCATATTTATTAAGCGAAACCGTTGTTGGACATATCATAAAGTAGAAAGTTTATAAGCCCGGCCGCAGGCTGTCCATTTAGGAAATCTTTATCGAATCGATTAAACTGAAATATATCAAACTTTGAAGCCCTCGAAAACCTACTTGTTCCATAATTTGTTCTTTTTTATCTCCATATGTCGAGTTTTTAAATGGGAACTTATTTCATTTTTAAATTAGTGATTTGTTTCACATGAAATAAATCCCCAAAAATGGAGTGTTATTTCATTACAATTTAGGGAGTTATTTCATTTTGTTGGGGCATTTTTTTTCATTTGGGAATAATGAAATAAGTCCCCAAATTTGAGAAGTTATTTCATTTTTGTTTTTGGGGAGTTATTTCGTGGCGTAACTCCCCAACGCCTTCTTTTGACTTTACCAAAAATAAACGGAAGTAATATTACAAAGCAATTAATGTAATTGACACTAAATCCTATATAAAAAATATTATAAAACAAAACCTCTTCACACTCAGTTTATAGTTTAGTTGAACAAAATGTCGTCAGATAAATCACGCATTATATTTACAATAGTTTTACTCAGCTTACTTAGTAATAAAAGAATATTGGCTAAAACTAACCATAGTATGGTGGAAGTAATTAATAATATTAACGAAAATTCTAAATTAAATCTCAATGTTTTAATAAATCTACAAGAAAATGTAAAAATTAATCAAAAAATTACGGAAATAGCCAAATTAATACAAATGCCCAAAATAATTATAGATAAAGCTAACTATAGCAAAGTAGTAAAAGCTGATTTAATGCAAGACTTTAAACCTCTATATGAACAATATAATAGTGAATGTTTAGCTATAGTTTGGCTTAACGTAAAACAAATTAATAACACTTTTCAGTTATTGGAACGCTTATTGTGGCGAAGACATTTTAAGGATATATTATTGATATATGAAAGAGAATACACAGAGAAGCTGTTAGACTTTAACAGCCAGCTATTACAAATATTTCAAAATTGCTGGTCCAAAGGTTTTATATCGGTATTATTGTGGTCACAACAGCACCTGTACACCTATCATCCTTATCCCCATATAAAAGTTCGGCAACTCAGTAATGTTGGACAATTCTGGGATAAAACTCATTTAAATAATTTTCATCAACGTCCGTGCCTTTTACCTTTCTTTCAGTTTCCCAATCAGTGCTATTCGTATAGAAATCGTCAAGGTCAACTGATTCGCACCGGTTACTTCTACAAATGGTTACAATTATATTTACAATACTACAATGCCACCATCGAACATTATTCCATCGATGTATGGTCGAGTAATGTCAGTCAAAAGGAGAGTTTAGAAGCCCTTACAGAAATGGGCTTCTGTTTGATACCAATATATTTACTCAAATTTAAGGATTATTTTGACACTAGCAATGTTATGCATTTGAGTAAAGTAACACTAATGGTACCTAATGCCAGAGAAATAACATCTAGTTTATATCTGATATTGCCCTTAATGCATTATATAGGTTTGATAATTATGGCAAGTACTATTATGTTATTCGTTTTAATGTATTATATGGAATATACTACAACTAAAGTAAAAGATTTAAGTAAATTAGTTATGACAACTTTTAGCATAATCTTATTTCTTTTTAATGGATTTGGAAAAGAAAATAAAACAATAAAACATTTTCTTTTACACTTACTGTTCCTATTTACGGGTATATTTCTCACCACCTACTACAGTTCTACTTTGTCCAGCCTGCTTACCTCTAAGGTATATGAACCGCAACTTAAGACATTTCAAGACATTGCTCGTACCCGTTTGACTCTATTAGAATATACGGCCGATGTAAATTTTATGCTTGAAATAAATATACCCCAAAGCATAAAACAACGTATACATACGGGTAATAATGCTGAATTATATACTAACCGTCAGAAGCTGAATATGACCTATATGTATACCGTGCACGATGAATTTATGGATTATCTATTATTCCAGCAATATTATCTCAAACATCCAATTGCCCGTAAACTAGATGAGGCTTTATTCTATCGTCCACTTTATGTAACCGTTCCCCATCGTTCCCCTTTAATTGATCATCTTAATAAATATTTAATGCGTATATTTGAAAGTGGTTTGGTGCAAAAGTTTCTTATGGATACAAAGTGGGATGGTGTATTGAGCGGCAATATAAAACTTATGTTCGATATAGAATTGGAGAAACCTTTAAGTTTGAAGTATTTATATTATGGTTTTGCAGTTTGGATTTGTGGTTTGCTGTGTGCTCTCATAACATTTGTAATTGAGTATGAGATTTTTGCCTTTAAAGATGGCAGACGTCCATGGAAGTGGATCAATAGAGTTAATGAATTTATGTTTAAGTTATAATTTAAAATTTAAAATTATCAGTTCATAACATTGTGTTTATAAAATATTAGAAAATTTTGATTTGAAAATATATTTATGATCGGTTCAATACGAATCAAACAATTTATAGTTTTAATTTGGACAACAAAGATAGAAAACCTTCGTCGTATGCACGAAAGTACATAAACTGCGTAATCAGTTTTTTCATTTTTTATTTAAAGGAATTTAAAATTTGAGGTACATACTATTTACAAAAAATTTTATTAAATTGTATTTGTATTCACCCTTTATACCTAATATAAACGAAAAATGTCGTACATGCTATGAAATGTTTCATGGTTTTCACTTGTTTCATAATTTTTACGAAATTGTACGAAATATTTTAGTAAAATGCAAAATTATAAAAAAATCGTTTATTTTTACGAAATATTTGTATACCCTACACCACTATAGTGGGGAGGGTATTATACGTTTGTGCTGATGTTTGTAACACACAAAAATATTGGTCCTACACCCACCTTAAAGTATGCCGATCGATTCAGAATCATTTTTTGAGTCGATTAAGACATGTCCGTCCGTCCGTCTGTCCGGCTGGCTGGTTGTCCATGTAAACCTTGTGCGCAAGGTACAAATGGCACAAATAAGTTTTATATAAGTATAAATGACACTGCCGATTTTCGCAATGATCGGTCCTTATTTAACCCTAGCCCCCATACAAACCCCTCTTCAAAAAATGTCTTATACGTCTAAAATTGACTTGTAACCATTTATATCGCAATGAAACTCAACAAAACTAACTGGAAACATATCCTTTTAACAAATTTAATGAGGATCGGCCCATGTTTGACCTATACTCCTATATGAAGCCTCATTTAGAAAATTTGTTTTTTATCAAAAAATTGCTTACATACTTTGCAATTAAGGTAAAATTCAACATAAAAGTTTCGTTATGAAAAATAAAAATTTTTAAAATATACTCATGGTGTAGGGTATTATATGGTCGGCCATGCCCGACTATACTTTCCTACTTGTTTTAAAAATGTAAATTTAAAATTATATACCCCACGCCACTATAATGGGGAGCGTATTATGCATTTGTGCTGTTGCTTGTAACACCCAAAATATTGATCCACCTTACAGCATAATAATCGGCTCAGAATCGATATCTGAGGCGATTGAGCTATGACCATGTCTATACGTCCATCTGGCCACCTGCCTGCCTGTGTCTGTCTGTCAGCCTATCTGTCTGTCTTTCCGTCTGTCTTTCCGTCTGTCTGTCTGTCTGTCCGTCCGTCTATCTGTTGCCAACCTGTCTGCCTGTGTCTGTATGTCTGTCTGTCCATCTGTCGCTTGTCTGTGTGTCTGTCTGTCCGTCTGTATGTCCATGTAAACCTTGTGGCATGCTACATGTCACAATTTTCAAGATAATTTGATGAAATTTGACACATACACTTCTCTTGACCCAAAACTGCCGATTTTGACCCTAGCCTCTATATGAAGACCCCTTTAGACTTGCAGGTAAATTCACTTTTAATCACTAATATGGAATTCTACATAAAACACTACAATGTTATCGTAAATCGCTCTAGCAAAATTTATTCATATAGGATATTTACCGTTGCCACCATGCTCATGTGTACAACAATCTTGTGGTACGGTGTAATCGGTCTAACATACTTTTAAGCATTTTCCCGTTGTGCGACGTTTGTTTATTTTTATACTATTCACTATTACTCTTAAATATTATTTAACACCTCAAAGAAAAATTATTTAAATTTTTTTTTTAAAGAACAAAATTCTATCACTGGCACATGTGAGTGTTTTAATAATAAAAGCGACTAATTGTTAAACACATAACATTATAAATAATTAATCTTTAACAACAGATGTTTTGTTTAGTTTTCAAAAAACTACAATTATTAAATATAATATTTATTTATTTATATTTATTATAGAATAAAGTCGAATGTATTCAACTAGAATAGAGTAAAATGTATTCGGCTAGAATGGAGTTGAATGTATTCGACTAGAATATATTCGGCAGGAATAGCGTCGAATGTATTCAACTTGAATAGAGTTATATGTATTCGACTAGAATAGAGTCGAATGTATTCGACTAGAATAGAATCGAATGTATTCGACTAGAATAGTGTCGAATGTGTTCGAGTAGAATTGAGTCAATTATATTCGACTAGAATAGAGTCGATTGTATTCGACTATATAAGGTCGATTGTATTCGACTAGAACAGAGTCGAATGTATTCGACTAGAACAGAGTCGAATGTATTCGAATAGAACAGCGTCGAATGTATTCGACTAGAACAGAGTCGAATGTATTCGACTAAAACATAGTCGAATGTATTCGACTAGAACATAGTCAAATGTATTCGAATAGAACAGAGTCGAATGTATTCGACTAGAACAGCGTCGAATGTATTCGACTAAAACATAGTCGAATGTATTCGACTAGAACATAGTCAAATGTATTTGACTAGAACAGAATCTAATGTGCTATACTAGAGTCGAATGTATTCGACTAGAATATAGTCGAATTTATGCGACTAAAATATAGTCGAATGTATTCGACTACAATAGAGAATAGAGTCAATTGTATTCAACTAGAACAGAGTCGATTGTATTCGACTAGAATAGAGTCGATTCTATTCGATTAGAATAAAGTCGATTGTATTCGACTAGAACAGAGTCAAATGTATTCGACTAGAACAGAGTCGAATGTATTCGACTAGAACAGAGTCGAATGTATTCGACTAGAACAGAGTCGAATGTATTCGACTAGAACAGAGTCGAATGTATTCGACTAGAACAGAGTCGAATGTATTCGACTAGAACAGAGTCGAATGTATTCGACTAGAACAGAGTCGAATGTATTCGACTAGAACAGAATATAATGTGTTAGACTAGAACACAGTCGAATGTATTCGACTAGAATAGAGTCGAATGTATTCGACAAGAATAGAGTCGAATGCACTCGACTAGAATAGAGTTGAATCTATTCGACTAAAATTGAGTAGAATGTATTCGACTACAATAGCGTCGAATGTATTCGACTAGAATAAGACGAATGTATTCGAATCGAGTCGAATCTATTGGACTTGAACTGAGTCGAATGTTATCGATAAGAACTGAGTCGGATGTATTCGACTGCAAGAGCGTCGAATGTATTTGATTGGAATGTAATCTAATGTATTCGACTAGAATAATTCAACTAAAGTTCTTTGTCTAGAAGTCTAGTGTAATCGACTACAATTAAGTCCAGTGAATGCGACTAGAATAGAGTTGGATATATGCGCCAAGAGTCTATATAGTAACGTGTATTGGACTAGAATTGATTTGAAGACTTTTTAGTTATTATTAAAATTCTTAAATAAATAGTTTTAAATAAACATCCTGTTTTCTTTTGCGTGCAATCTAATTTTTATTAAAAAAATATTGCTAGTGATTTTTAAAGAAAATGTTTCTAGTACGATAACGTGCTTTAATGGTGAACTACTCTAACTGTGTCATACATTCAAAATTTGATTTCTTAAATTTGTTATCAAATAAACATTTAATTCAATGACTCCATAAGCATCATTGTCATGGTATAAACGGTTTTTGTAATTTGTAAAGCTGTATTCATCGATAAGGGAGCCACACCGCCAATCGAAATACCCTTAGATTTTTGCGACTCACGCAACATAATCAAAATCATTTTCTGTTCGGAAACAGTTAAATTATACCAGCAAGAATTATAAATCATTTCAATGACATCATCGTTCTGTAAAAGTAAGAAAGTAAGAAAATCTTTATTTGTAAAAAAAAATTTTAAATGTTTATAAAATCTTACCGATAATTCGACTAAATTGCCCAAAGAACAATAAGAAATCAGAAGAGAATATAAGTAGATTAAATAAACCGGAGCCGGTGGCCATATATCGAGAAACATGCAAACAATTGTACAAATAATACCCAAAAATTCAAAGCCGATTTGTATAAAGATAACCCAGAAAAATGTATCCCTAATGGTGTTGCAGAAACTTTTTGAAAAGTGTTTTAAATAGAAATTTATAGAATAATTGAATTAAGTTTTCAATTTCAAAAGAAAATAAATAAGAAATTATAGTCGGTTATGACCGACCAGAATTAATACGATATTTTATAAAACTCTCTTATTTGGAGCATAAAACATGACTTCTTAAAAAGTGTATGGACTCTTGAGAGATTGGTGTTTTAACTATAGATAGGTCTATAGTTTCTATACTACAGAGAATGTTTTAATTCCAGATAGTGCCAAAGTCTATCTGATATTTCTACTGAGGTTGCCAGTCTCGCATATTAAGAGTTCTACAGTGTCTGGACTATATAGAGTTCTCAGATATGTATATGAAGTTCACGAAAGTCTTGACTGCGGAGAGTTCTATGGAATGTTAAATTGTGTGTCGACTACAGAGAGTCTGGATTACATTGACTTCTAAAGTGTTTTGACTTTAAAGAGTTATATAGTGTCTCGGCTATAAAGTCTATGGTTCTGTAGTATGGTTCTCTAGTATCACTACTATTAAGAGGTATACTTTGTCTACAGTATGGTGTCCCGATCAGAGATACAAGCCGAGACAGCTCAAAACGGCGGCGGCTGGCCGCCGATAATATTTTGCAAGCCGCGCCGCCGCCGACTTCTTTCGGTTCAAAAGCTAAGCCGGCTTAAACGTAGCCACTGATAAAGCTTGGAATCGCACATGTCTTTCAGAAAATAATTTCACCAATTTGAACAGAGTTGCCACTATTTTAAATTCTTATGGCAAATTGAAAAGAGTTGCCACACAATATTGTGCTAATATTAAAATAGTGATAACTACTACAATAATGTCCATTTTCTGCAGAAAAATCTTATATAGAGACAGGTTTTTATATAGCAGACTATTATACAGAGATTTTTCAATATAATAAACGCTTATAAGGTCAATTTCTGAAGAAAAAGTTAAATTGAGCCGACAATTTAGCCGCCGCCGATATTTTCTATAA